ATTTGGCCATAGATAAATAAACAAAATAAATTTTTCAGATTAACGTGAATTATTTATTAATATTTATCTATAAATAAATAAGCAAAATAAAATTTGTCAAATCAACATAAATTATTTGTTAACATTTTACCATAAATGAATAATGAAAACAAATTTCTTGAATTCTAATTTCGATAATCATTTAAAGATCAGTAATAAATAATTTTGTAGGATAGAATAATAAGAATAAAAATTTCTAATAAGAATCTCGTTTACGTAAATATTATAGAAAAATATAATTAGAGATTACGTTACGTTCATTTCATAGTAAGTTCGAGTTATTAATTCGTTATCTGTGAATTTAGCTTTCACTAACGACTCTTCTTTGTCTAAATGCGACATAGAATTATCATTCTCAAATAAACAGTAATCTTAAATGAATTTTCAAGTGATTAATAGTGTCCAGCAAACTGCTGCACAGCTTTTAATTACGCGGCCATCGTGAATGAAAGTCGGGCGCGTAAAGGAAAGCAAGTTTTATCTGGCTCGACAGACTGTCGTACCACGCCTTGCATCAGAATGTCCTGAGAGTGAACGCGATATCACGAAATTACGTGCGAGTCTATCGATGAAACACGTCTCGCTGTTTAGGAAATAAGTTCTGGCATTCTGTCGCAGAAAATAAAACTACTTTTACCACTTTTACTGTTTTAAACACCCACTTTCTTTTGTTCTGAATAAAATAGATCTACTTCTGTCGCTATATTTCTTGAGGACGTTTCTATATTACATTAAAATATTAAAGATATATAATTATTAAAATAAAAATTGATAAGATTAAAGGTATAAGACTGTCGTTATTGACGACATTCAAATGCGATCCCTTTTTGGCGACAATGGTGACTGAAACCTTTTGTAAGAATTCACAATAACGTAACCAATTAAAGAAACTGTTACACGAGACAAGATCAACATACTTTCCTTTTCGGGTTACGTAACATATGCCCGCGAAAAAGGTGTTTCAATTATTACATAAAGTTACATATCACGAACACGTAATGTACTCCAGTTTAAATATACGTAGACTATTAATTTTACCCTTTTATACGTTATCCATACATTGGTACTAGTTGATTAATATTTTTAATAATACGATAAATAAATATGTAATTTTAAATATATCGCTTGATAATGAACAACCGTAAAAAAATAAATTTTACTTCCTCAAATATTACGGCCCCCTGCATTATGGTACCACGCCTTTCTTCAATTTACTTTTTTTACCACGAAGTACATATTTTAAAAACACATCTGATATACTGGATTAAAATTTTTTATTTCGTGCTATAGGTTATTAAATTAAATATGTATATATGATCTACTCGTAAAACTTTCTCTTCTTATTTTAGTTACCATTTTGATTGATCTGTACATCATCTGATATATCGAACATTTAAACAGTAATAATTTGTTTTTTAATTTTTATTAGTATTTAAGTTATAAAATGCTAAGCCATTATAAATTATTACTTTGACTGATCCGTTGCAACATCTAATATTTTAAATACTTACGTTAATATTATCTAAAATATTTTCTCTCTAAATATTTTATCTGACTCTATACTTAACCTATTCTCCTATAATATCTCCGGATGAAAATTTTAAACCGAATTCGACAAACGTTATTCATTTATTTTCAATATAAATAAAATATTACTTGTACATTATCAGTCTTTAATCTTTAAAATAAACGTAGACACAAAATAATCATTAGATTCTTTTCCACTAAATTATTAACGATAATGTTTTACAAAACCAAAGAATATATTTATCGCATTCCAAATGTCCAGTTCAAGATTCACTAAATAACAAACAGAAAAAAGTAAACAAAATAAAATAGTAATACATTGCTAAGATATTTAAGATATTTATTTCCCTTAATTTTACTTGTCAAAATGACCCACTCCTAATTTCTTCTTTTTGCAATTATTAAAAAGATAACAGATATTCCTCTGAGAAATTATTAAAGAAATTGATTTGGTAATACGCAAACTGAATTATAAATCAATTAAAGTCTATGTAGATGCACCCTTGAAGTTGCTATAGAGGAATTTCAGAAAGTCAATTTAACTGCTCGGTAGGTTTAGTGTTAAGGAGTTAATGAACACGTTACCGGGTCATGTTTCGCAGCCATTGAAATTGAAAAATAAATAATAGAACGTTGTCAGCAGCGGACAAGTTCGGTAAAGGGCATCAGGATACGCTTCCAACGGGCCTGATCGCGAAACAGATCGGCTCGGCCGAGGGGCCCGAAGCGAGGGCACGTATATTGTGAAAGGTGGGCATGGGCGGTGGTTCGTGGCAGTCTCCACGTATCAGGTATGCGTAACGTGTAATTCCACATGGGACAGTTCAGGATTAGAATAAGAGGTTGGAGCAGGATGGCAGCCAACGGTTCCTGCTATACCTACGTGATCACGTCCGGGATAATCTCGATTGTCCGGGCTGACGTCACTAGCCTATCGGAATCACATTTTCACCGGGAACAAAGAAAATTGACGCGCGCCAAGGCTGACATAAATATAGAAACACGAGCCGCATGAAAGGTTGCGTTACGCGCGTTCGAAGATTTTTTTGTCCCGATCAGCTTCATTAATATTGTCGATCAATCTTGACTAGGCGTCCCTTTTTTTTAGATAACCTCTTTTACCTTTTTTTCACGCTGACTCGCTTTCTTCTTTGTGTCGCGGGTTACAGGTAAGGTTACGTAAACGGCTCCGATCGTTTAAGTTGGAAGTTTGTAGGCTCGAGATCATCTTTTAGTGAACAGGAAACTATAATTTATAAAAGACTCGTGAGTTTCGGCTTGCGTTTGCTTCCTTGTTTACTCTACTATGATCTATTACTTTCTCTTTGTGCACTGCATTTGAGACAGTTGAATCTTTGCGTGTATTTTTCGCGACGGTTATGTTGAGAATTTTTGTGTGAGAAGTTTAACGCTATTGTATTAGTAAAAATGACTGGTTTCGGTTTTTTTGTTTCGCAATGATCGGTGTCTTCAAAGTATTAACACTGCAACTACCAAGCAGTCCAATTGACTTTTAGAAATTCCTCTATACAAACTCCAAGAGTATATTTATTCAGACTTTAACTGATTTTCAATTCAATTTGCGCATTGTTACATCAATTTCTCTAATTATGTCGCAGAGAAACATCTGTTATCTTTTTAATAATTGCAGAGAGAAGAAATCAGGTATGGATCATTTTGGCCTGTCTGATAGTTCTAGTGTTAAATATTCTAAATGATCTTGAAAATAAATAGTTTCATTTGAATACAAGAATGAATGTCTAAAGAAATTGGAAATAATCTGTTATTACCATTTTTATTGGGGTTACTTATCAATCGAATTAAATGCTCGGTAGTTCTAGTGTTAATAAATTTCACTTGTTTGCATCGAAAGTTGATGATTGTTTCACAATTGTTTTAAAAAGGTATTACAGTAGAAGTATACAAGCTTGTCAAACTTTATATATCTATAAACAGCTACAGCGGCCATACTTTCTGCAACATTTCAACCCATTGGAGTCTAGATTAGATGAATCAGAAATCAAAATCTTCAAGAGAAACCTCAAGAACGTTCTATAAAGCGAAGGTGGAAGGAAAAGAAAGTTAGGTAGCTACGAATTTCACGTTCAAACGGTGCTCTTTAGAATTTCATAACTCTGACAAAATGATCATTTCCCGTGATTACGGGTCAACGACGATTACAGAAGCGTGTTACGGGGACCGCGGATAGCTGCTTCGTGACACAAGCCGGCAATAAACAATTTCTGTGTAAGTGTCAATGACGACAAAACCGCCAGTCCGAAGGCGATGAAATTACACGTGGACGACGTTAGCGAGGGAAGATAATCGGGAATTGTGCTAATGTTCGGGTAATTCTTTTTTCTTTCCTTATGTCCGAGTGACACAACGAAGATAAAATCATATCCAGGAATGCTGCGAAGAAGTTTCACATACAGGTGCCCCAGATAATTACACAATGGATCCGATGGTCAAAGAGCGCGGATGAAATTCCTGGGTGTGGTTGCAGCCTCCTTGCCGATGCAAAAATTTCTATGCTGTGTGCAGTTTGCACAAGCATCCGATGTTTCCGTTTCAAGCTGGCAAGGTCGTTGGTTTTGATAAGATTATTTTAAGAAGCGTGAACCATTATTTGTTTTTTTTTCTGTGAATATTAAATGTGCATACCTTACACGGCACAGTGAGAAATTTTCCACAAGTTGACGAGGATTATTGTTCTGCGATGGAACATGCAGATCCTCATTGGAAGTCACTGCTGATTATTGCATAGTTTAATGGTAGACATTGTATACTAGTAACATAGGAAGCCTGTACTTATTGTTATTTATTTTAAATATTTTCAATGATTCGTGCCTGACTTAAAAATTTAGCAATTATTGTTGATAATAATACGTATGGGTTTCAAAATTTTATTAGTGATAAAGAAAAGATATTATGAAACAGAACGTTGTTTGAAGATGAAGAGTTAATAAACACTTCGTAACTTATAAATAAAGATATGAAATGAAAATAGAATTTCATTCAATTCAAAAACGGTACCATGATTTAACCCTTTAACCCTACATTCTGTCTTATCATGGAAGTTTCCATTTGTCGTCGTAAGATGGCGCCACCGTTCAGTTTCAGAAATTTTGTATCGCATTTCAATTACTGCCATTTGCTGATACTTAACAAAGTATACTATCACTATTACAATTGTACAATGAATTCGAATATAAAGTTGTTTAAGTCTATAATATAACTTTTTAATCGAAATAAGGAATAAAATATTTATTTCAATCGTTCTGCCAAGAATTAATTACATACTACAATAAATAAAAGGATTATCCTCACATTATTCCATAAATACTTTATTACAGTCTAAAAATACACTTAAATAATCATCATACAACATCTGTAATACATAAAAATTGCATCGACAATTCTAATATAAGAACACATATATTATAATATTCGTAACGTAGACCATTCCAAATATAAAGTTTCACAATTATAATACTTGTACTTTAGATTTAGAATCAGTTGCATCAGACAGCTATCGATCGTTAACTCCCTATTATTCGTGTGTGATCCAGAATGTATCGATACGCGGAAAAAATTTGAAATTCTAATCGTTTCGTCGCGAAGGAAAATCGGCGCAATTTTATGCGGATTGACTGAATTTTCCGCAAGAATCTCGTCGTTGGAATTAAGATTTGCATCGTGGATCGACCGCGTCGGGACGGGTTCTTTTCACTTGCATCACTCTCGATCGATATCACATGAAGGTCGTACGAAGGTATTTCAACGTCGCGATTTTTTTCTTACCGAAGAATCAAGTTCACCCATGATTGCACCCGTAATTTCCTGCGACATGATGATTAACATGAACGGGATTCCATTTCACGCGATGCATACCTGGCAAATTATTCACCCCGTTCGTCATCGACAACGCGGAAGAACGCAGCAGCGTTTAAACCTTCTCGTAACACGACTAATTTCCTTTTACAAAGTAAAATTTTATATTAATAATTCATTGTTCGACTACCTATATAAAGCTCAATTAATTCATGCCAAATTCAAATCAATTTTGCGTGAATTATTCAAGTGATATGCGAACGTCTCATTGGTTACGAAAGGGTTGCTAAAGAAATAGTTTACACATTGTAACAAAGAAATTATTAAATGTAATGAATATATGCAGTGCAGAGAACAATAAAGGAAGTCATTCGAGTCACTGAAATAGAAAATCATATGTATGTATAGAATCATTTATCTAATATGAATTTTAAAGTATTTTTAGCCCTTTTACTAACTTTCAGATGAATTACTTTGATTTAATACCGTGTATGTTTTAGTTAGCGATTTTCTAGGTCAGCGAGTCTACTGTTTCAGCAGCGAAAGGATCAAGTGTGTGAACTTCAGCTTTTCACCACTAAAGAGGTAATTCGAGACACGTTGTTTTGAGCACTAAGTCAGAGAAATGCTAGAAGAGCTCGCGTGCTAGTAAGAAATACGAACGAATGAGTTATGGAAGCATTTGAGAGGTAGAAAAACAGGTAGAATAGTAAAAGAGAGGTAGAGTTTTATGCAGGAACTACTCTTAAAGTGTAACAAGTGCAAAGATCAGAGTCATGAGCGTACTACATTAATGCAAAGGCATAGCTAGCATGCAGTGTGCAAGATGGCGTGTTTCACCACGAAAAGTATTCTTTAATGATGAACGATAATGGTTAAAGATTCGTGCGTTCGATGGTGTAACAAGATTTACGTTCTTTGACACGTCAATTGAGGTATTAACTGTTCCTGAAGAAAACAGGGTAATTTGCGGTCAGGTTGTAAGTGGAATTAGAAAATTATCCTCAAACTGTAAAATAAATCACCTATAGAGATAAGTGATAGACACCAAATTTACTAAGGACTCGATAGAAAGTAGTTCTCATAAGACACTTGATACATTCACTTTTTATAAACCACTGTTCATATCAAAGGAGTGAAAATAACCTTGAAAGTATCGTTTTCTAATAATTTCTATAATCGAATTACAAATTTATATTCCTTATTAAAAAACATAACCTTTTGCTATTCTACCCCTAATCCTCGCAACCCCATTTCATAGAAACTACTTTCTATCGAAATCTCTTAAAAGTTTACATAAGTAATTTCTGTATATCTCGGTGTTATATAGTACAGGCACCATCAGAGAATTCTTCGATGATAAAATATTCCATTTTCCATGAACATTCGAGTAAAAAATTCTCACTAATGGATGTGCCAATCTTTGAAGAAAAGGGTGAATCCTATCAAATGTGACAGTTCAAGAAGAATGAGCCTAGAATTTGCAACAATTAATAGAGAAATATTTGTGAAATACTAAGCTTGAATAATGTTATCGTTATTCCCAGAATCCCATTGGTTCAGAAAAAACTGGCCCTATCTACAGAAAAAAATCTATGTCCGCGGATCATCGGCGAGTAGAACTTGGTATTTACACGTGGCGATGCGATCGGAGGATGTTTATCGCCTGTAATTAACCGTGTAAGAGGCTAGCCCGGCATTGGGATCGACGTTGGGCGCCGGACGACCTTGGGGTCCGCTTTGGATCGGGGCGGCCGGATAAACAGACCGTTGTTGCTGGCCCTGATATTGCGGTTGGTATTGCGATCGGTACTGCGGTTGATATTCCGGTTGATACTGCGGCTTCGGCTGATACTGCACACGGGGAGGATACCTGGAACACCGAGAAACAGATCCTGCCCGTTAATTCCGCCGGTTATTTCCCGCGAGTTAAAGAGTAGCTAAGAGTTGTGCAAGTCACGATCCCTGCACTTTCGAATGAGATTCACTTGACATTTGCGAGATTCACAGTAAACTCTTTTGCGTGATGTTTGAGCTGTTCCTTTATAATTTACTCAGTTGACCGCTGATGTGGAGATAATGATGTTGGAAAATACGAATTTGAATGTATATATTTATATAACACTGTTATAATATAAAATAATAACATAGTATTTTTATGATTTATTTAATGATCGCAAGTACCTCTGTATCTATTATCTCTATAAATATTTTGAAAAATACAAACTTAAATTATATTTCTATCGTGCTGATAAACTATAAAATGAAGATTTTACTTTAATCATTGATCGCAGATATAGAGATTGATATTTCCAAAGTAAAAATTTGAATATTCCTATTATACTGTTATGATATAAGATATAATAAGTACGTTCTATTTCCTGTTTACTTAGAAACAAGGAATCATTTCTAAATAATAATTCATAACCCACCTGGGTGGATTGTAAATTGGTGCCGGAAGTGGCCGTTGTGGTTTCTGGATCAATGGTTGACGAGGGGACGGCTCATAGCGTTCTCCATTAGTAAATCGGGGATCAGTATAGTAAACAGAGGGATCCTCTCTATACTGTCCGTCATCCTCGGGTTCGTTAGGATTAGCGATGCTATTTCCGGTCAACGTTGGCGGAGGAACATTTATTCCGGCTCCAGCCGGTTCAAAGCCTCGCCTGGATGCCCCATACTCAACCTCGCGAATACTCCCAGTATCATCAACGAAACCGTATTTCCCGTAAACTTCGCCGGTGGGATATTTCGATTCGATTTTATAAGAACCGTCCGCTGCTTCGTAGCCATAACTGTAGCTACCGTCTTCATTATGCCTAGACATGAAATAAATTCATTTTGTACAAGAAAGCATAAAAATCTGATAAAGCTGGCAATCCAATTACAGAAAACGTAACATAATTGATAAAATCGGATATAATAGCACCATGGTAAATGAATTTCGCTACTGGATTCACAAAACCGATACTACTTTCCCGGCAATCTAATTCACTGCTATTTTTGCCAAATACTATCGTTCGCCGCTTACGCAATAACTTTTATCGTATATCGCATAATTCTTTGCGCTATTTCTCCGCTCGATTTGGTAATAACCGCAAAGATATACCGCAAAGAATGAAACTCGGAGCGGGTTTTGAAGCCTTGCAATAAGGAAGTAGTCGGAATTACACATGTTCGATGATTAGAGTACTTTTAACTTTTTAATTAGACTGGAACCACCCCACGAAATAAGTTCCGCTGTAGTCGACTGCCTCTTATCTTGCGTCACGCGTGAATGCTCGTGAAATTATAAAAACGCGGGAGCAGATAACAATAATAGTTCTGTTGCGGAACCGAAAAGAAGTGTGCATTTGGCCTTGATATTGCAGGCAAACGAATATGTTTACGAAACTACGTAATGTGACGCCTACTTCGAGGGTTAAACGTGGTTTTTGCTGTCTCCCATTGCCTAACTGCCTATCTGCATTTATTACGACACGCCGCTGTCACACTTCTGCGCGTCCGACTAATTTTCGCAATTTTCCTTTAGGAGATAATCCTTCAGCCGTTTACTTACATTTTTTCTATGCATATTTTCTTTTATTACTGTGTTCGTTAGCATAACATAAATACGTTATTATTCTTGCCATGAATGTTAACATAAAAAACCTTAATTCATTATAAATTCAACGAGTAAAATATTTGTTAAGAAAGAAATTATGAAATCAATTGTTAACGCTTAATTATTGACAAAAGACAAAAAAGTGCTAGGATACTTTGGTTAATTATTTTGTATGTCGGAATAGAGAATTTGTAAGCGCAATTAAAGGGGGAGTAAAGGGAAATGATATGACAGTAAAACGGTACTCACTTGTTTATTTGCTTCAAAATGGGCACCGGTGTGGTTACTTGGTACTGATTGTGCTGGGCGAGCGCAAGGCCAGCGCAAAACAAGAGAGACAGTACCTGGAGACAGAAGTTTGCATAAAACAGTTGGCACTCGAATCACTTTCCAATAACCTCGTACGCTTTATAAAATCGTCGACAATCGGGATTACGCGTTTGACATTCTGGCTCTAAGGAAACGTGCAAGAAATGTAGAACAGAAGAAAATTGTTCTGATACGAGAAGGATAATCCATTGAACGATTAAAAAATTTTAATGAAATATTGAACAATAAAATTGTAAATTTCACTTTTTGTTTTCTTCACCATGTGAATATCACTGAACAAACATACACGGATAGATCGAGAAAACTCAGAGGCCACTTCCGCTCAACCGTGTCACTATGCAATCCCGTCTGTCTTGCGTTGAAATCACCGGCACTGATTTTAACTTTAAAATGTTGCGTGTTCATTGATCTACTTGTATCCACGGAAACAACGCAATAATAAAATATTGAAATAAAAATCTTCAAATATCAGTATTTAACTGTAAATTTCTGTCATTACGCTTATATTTCTGAAGGAAAACATTCTGTTAATTAATGCTCACTACATCATAAAGAAACTTCTCCCATTTATAAATACAACTTAAGCTTTCATTTGACAAATACAAATATAATAGATACAACTACTGAAATCAAACATCTTATATTTCTATAATATTCCGGTCAACATCTATCGTTAAATCACCAAATGTTCAATACGATTTCCGTAATTTATATTCACTCAAGACTATGAATAAACTTAACTTGATTAATTTAAAAAGAAAAATCCAAATCTCGATGTAAATCACTGATGATGATTCTGCATTCTTAGGGGATGCAGCTGTGCTTACAGACACGTGTAATGTTTATAAAGGATCAATGACTCGTGGATCGTACTGATAAGAAATCCAGCCTTGATACGGGCCAACAACGAGACACTATCAGCGAATGAGAAAAATCGTGTACTCACGGGAAGTCGCATGTCTGGTTGCTGATGAGGCAGACGCGATTGTATTATAGGATCGCGTTACACCGGCCGCGAGTCAACTTATATAGGTCCCCTTCGGGAGCGGCGGGGCCCGCCCATGGGCCCGACCACCGCCTCAACCTCGCAGCGATCTAAGTGCGCGAGTTCACTGTACCGAACCGCGACTTTGAAAATTTCTAACATCGGCCAATTTTCATTCACAGTCGAGCGTGACTTATCTTCGGTTTTCGATGACTCCGTAATTGCATAAACGCGTTGACCAGGAAAACCGCGTGACCGTTCGAGCATCGAGAACAACAGGCTAAATCGTCGTTTACTCGGTACTGGATAATTATAAGTATTTGGAACATTGTCCGGGTTAGGCAAAAATTGTGGAAACCTGAAAATTTTCATTGCAACACGATTCCTGTTTGATTAGGTTCGTAGTAGTTGATGTTGAATCGTAACGGTTGTTCAAACGAAAGTTTGACTTACGTGAATTTCGTGGGACTCTTTCTCTTCTTTTCCGTCGATCCGACGTTTAAACTGTATTCACACCGATTGTTGTACGTAATCATCGTTTTATAAGCGCATTGTGAGATTTGTTGAGTATTTCGTAGTTCTGAAGTTCTCTTGTGGATGCATGTTTGACGTTAATGATTTATGTACATTTTCATCTCTTGTGTATTATATTAGGTGAAATATGCATTGAATTTAATGTATACTTTTATAATGTATTGTATTGATATATTTTATATTAATATAGGAGTTCGATTTTTAATACAGAATACTCTTTTCAGAATTAAGAAATTTCTTGTAATTAGCAAACACGTATTAATAATTGCGGGTGAAGTCAAGGAAAAGCCCTTGACCATTGCTGTGCATACAGCTGAAGTATTTTCAGAGACGCGATTCTACAAGGTGATCTTCTAAATGATAAACATTTTTATCACAAGGACGTTACGCTTAATAATGTATTGAAAAATGTTTATTCATTATACCTACTCCGCATCTACCATTTGCATTATTGTATTTAAAAATGTACATTTTCTATGCACATATTTCTACACAGATAGAGTATTGAATTTCAAATGGGAAACATATTATTACAATCTTAAATGATTATTATTCATGTGCTATTTGTAATGAAGACAGTAAGGATTACGTTTTTGGTGTCGAAATGGAAAGTGCGATTAACTACCAAATAAATCTGTTTCATGAATGTTTCTTTCGTTGTAGCGGAAGAGAAAATGCATTTTGAAACAGAATACTAATCGATACGATCTTTTTCGAGTTTGCATGTCTGCCGCGTCGACTGCATGCACGAAGTGTTAGTTTTGTAATTATACAAATAACCGGTGAAACAAGAACCTTCTTGATAATACAAGAGAACTTCTTGACATTTATAGTGAGTATTAAGGGCACTATAATGCTCAGCAGAGTGAAATATACACTCCTTTGGCGATCTTGCAACTCAAGCAGGCCGATTCGTGAGAATCAATTTCTGTAGAAATAGCTTTCACGTTTAGAAGTATCTTTTGAAACTATACTTTCCTATTGCATAACATCTTTTATTTTTCCATGTTACTGTGCCTATGAAACAATAAAAGAAACATACTACTATAATCTCCCAACGTTTACAAATAAATTAATAAAATTATCTCGTCAACCATTCTTGTTTTACGAATCATTTGAAACAATTCCATAGAATAAACGCTAACTCTGAAAATTTAATTTAATAACAACAGTACTCAATGCTAATTCAGTAATAATCAAACTGTATAATATTAAAAACAAATGTCCCTATCAGAAATATTTACCAAAGTATTTTATAGGAGGTCGTATTATTTTATCAGCAGGATTTTAATGGTGCTAATTATATATTCGAGTCGTTGCAGTTACGATTTAAAATCGTCGAACGATTCACGAACGATCGTGAGTGAAATGCATTTTGTCACGGTGGTATCCGGGCGCAGTTGCAGTGAAAGTAAGAAAGGACAGTGTTCCGGAATTTGTATTCACGGAATGATAAACAGGGCGGTCGAGGCGTGTGACGTTTTCGTCTGTATCGAGTTGACGCCGCGGAAGAGGTCGCCCCTCGAAGGGACGTAAGGCTTTATTTCTCGCTTACGCAACGCTGTTACGCAGGACATAATCTGATATTAACGTCAACGTTCCCGCTACTGTAATGCGAGCGTTCACTTTCGTTGTTTTCGCCTGTAGACATCCTTCACTCGTACTTGCTGCCTGTACGACTGATATTGTTCGACCGGCCGTTACCACGCGTCACACATTTCTAACGTTCCAATTCTTGTGCTACATACACGGTGAGCCGTAAATCTGCGAGCTGAAAGAACGTGAATGTATTACTTAAAAAATATTCGATTGATTTCTTTTTTTTAGCAACAAAGGTTCCTAAGATGAGTGGAGCATGAATGAATATTCGAGGTATTGTACAGTGAAGATATTCCGGGTAGTTTGAACGAAATGATGACATAAAAAGTGTTCATGGGAATGTTGCTTTTCATTGTTTCCTTTTTTATTAAAATATAAGTATTGTTGGAACATGTTTATTGGGTTAAAAGTTTCGAAAAACATTTTTAAGTCTAAAAGGTTTATAAGATATTTAATTTTGTTGTCACTGTTTAATGTTTTAATATATCTTGTCAGTGATAAGAAAATTCGATCGGTTGCTTTGAAGGAAGTTCTTTTATACGCCGTGAGATGTCGACACTTTATGGCAGTGGCGTTTGACTTTTACATAGCGCCTGAATATAGATTACTTATTCTGCTACACTGTGCGAATGATGAAATGCAAAAAGAAGTCAGTAGAATAAAACAATAGAAATAAATTTTTTCTTTGTTTTTGGAGTAGACACTGTTTCTTATGCTCTTTTATCTCTAGTATTGTAGTACGAAAATGAATTGTATCAATAATCAGATTTTTTATTACTAAATATTGTCGCCACTTGTATATTCTCCATAGATTTCTATGTACATGCTTTTATTCTTGGATTAAGTAAAGAAAGCAATCGGTAGTTAGGTGCAAAGAAGATTAATGCAATTCTTATAATTTGAAACCAAAAATAAATATAATATAATTGTACTTTAAACTATTTAAAAAATAAACATTATCATAGATAACATTATATATTTCAATGGTCTAATGTTGGCATTTTCTAATTGTCATACAGATAATAATATTTGCAGTTCATACTATTCAAAAAATTAAAAGCAGTAATATTCTAACGTAAAAAGGTAATTCAAATAAATCAAATCAAAAACATTAGTATATTTTACAAAAAAAAATCAATTCTATCTTACAAATAGTCAACAATCTTCTAAACAATAACCATAAAAACTATCAAACAACATTTCCACAAAACACTGCAACCAAAAGAATACCAACGAAAGAAAGTAATTCACAGAACGTCCAAGTAACATCGTAAATAGTACCGAAAATTAGGAAAGCAAACGATAAGAGATGGGTGAAACAGTAACTCTGATAAGGGGTCGCGTTGCATATTCATGCAATTACTTTAATTGACTCGTTGTGCCTTTTATCAACCCATTCTATAAACCAGGGAACGAACGGGGTTGCCGTGACCGTCGACGGTTACTCCAGTTATTTCGTTCGGTTAATTCACAAATCTCGATTAGCGGGTGTATTCAGGGCCCCTCGGCGAGGCGCGTTCCTCCGCGGCCGGGCGACGCGACGGGCCGGCAGCGCATGATATACGAAATTGAAACGTCACATAAAACAGATTAAGGCGACGTATAATGAAAGGGCAATTATCGTGGAGGCGCGCGGCGTCTCGCCTGTATTATCGTGCGCGCACTCGAATGTGTATTTCTTTCGGCTCAGAACGCGTCGCCGTGGCAGTAAATGTCAATGCGCCGGTCGTACTAAAAAGTTAAGCGGTCGTGGTATGCGGTTAGGGACCCATTTTCGGAGTGGGTGTCGTTAGGGGAAGAAAAAAGGACTGGCTGATCGAAATTTTTTACGACTCCACTACCTTTCGACCCGTTCCCTTTCGTCGACGGCGACCAGTCGAAGGTTTAACCTTCTGCCCAGGCAATTACAGGGCTTGATAAAGTAGCGACACCTACGGCCAAAAATATCTCGACAGATTTTAACGCACAGTAGAACCACCTATCTTGGACATCGTTTCTCCTGCACGAATATTCCTCGATTCAATCCTAGAGAGGCCACGCTTCGAGGTTAAGTCAATTTTCGGAGTTCGTCTGTTTATACCTGATAATTTTGTTCTTCGATGGTATTCTTGTTTAGTCAAAAATGATAGTAATATTGAAGAAATATGGCGCGATAAATCAGTTTATTCAATAATTTAGAATTAAAAATCAAAAGAAATCAAGAACAACCAGTTTTTAACATTGTTTAATCGATAGAAATTGAGTATCTATACTATTTGTATTTTAAAAAACATTGAAAATCGGTAGTAAACATTAATTCAGCTGATAAGATATCAATAATTGAAAAATACTTTGCATATAGAGATGTAATTGCAAGTTATTAAAATACCACTTCAGCAGAGAACTTTGCAGTTCATTTATCATGCAAAATATACATTCTGAAAGTTATGATGAACGTAGCAAAGGTGTCAATGGTCCCACTAACACGGTCCACGTACACCGAAGCAGGTACCATTTCTCATCTGGCGGGCGAAACATCTGCATCCGGAGATTCACCGGTATTGGCGTCGTTACTTGCGCACCGTGCCGTGTATAAATAAAAAAATTGGCCGTTCGGGTGCGTTATTCGTCGAACTCCGCAGCGATGATAATGCTAACCGGGACTACAATTATCGCGGGGCTAGCTCCGGAATCAAGGATGAATCATGACATTGGATCGGGCCCGGGAACCGGTTCAATTTCGCTCGAATTATTTTGTCCCGTATATCATAATCGGCAGCCAATTATTGTTCGCGCCAGCCCATTCAGATCGCGATCAAATTGCACCTGCAATTGAATGCGGCTGGGTTTCGCGAACTCGAATAAACTCGTACCCTTTGTCTGTCCGGTGACTGGTTGTAAATCAACCACCCTTAATGATTTAAACGCGTAAGAAAGCAGCCGGCAATTAGCAGTTGCTCGGTAGCTGAAAAAGATGTCATCCTTAA